CACAGTTAAATGAGGTATTTTCTTCCATGTTAGGACCTAAAGGTAGTAATAAGTGTTTAGTTAATGGTGGTAACATGTTAAATATAACTAAGGATGGTGTAACTGTCTGTAAAGAAGTACCGTTTTCACAACCGACAGCCAGTGTAATAACTAATGCAGGCAAGAATATTTATGAACAACTAGGTGATGGTGTAACATCATTTGTTATACAAACTACAGATGTATTCATGGAAAGTTTTAAAATGTATCAAGATGGTGCACCAATAATAAAAATAGTTGAAGGATTACAATTAGCAATAAGAGATGTTATTCAGTACATAAAAGACTTAACAGTACCACTTGATGATATTTTATTAAGAAATATAGCTTTATCAATTTTAAAGTCTAAAATAAAAGAACCTGATCATCTTTTAAACATAATTATGTCATCAATAAAAGCTGTTGAAATAGATAAAAAAATGGTTGAAATAGTAAAAATGGATGGAGGTGATTTGAATGAATCTAAATTTATTGATGGATTAGTTCTTGATCATTCTGGAAGACACCTTGATATGCCTAAATCATTAGAGAATGTTTGTATATTAACCACCAATATCTCAATGGAATATGAACAACCAGAAATAAGTAGTGCTTTTACATTTTCATCAATTAAAGAGAGAATAGAAATGGCAATAACTGAAAATGATTATATCGCTAAAAGAGCTAATAAAATAGCAGAAATTGCTAAAGAATTGAAAGAAGAAGGAAAATCTTTATTAGTTGTTAGTGAAAGAGGAATTGATATGAATAGTTTATCAATTTTAGCAGATGCAGGTGTATTAGCCTTAAGAAGAGCTAAAAGATCTAATATGGATAGAATAACTAAGATGTGTGGAGGATCAATTGTAACGACATATGAAGGAATTAATAGAGAAATGCTTGGTTATTGTAATAAAGTTTCAGTAATTGAAATGGATGAAGAGAAATGCACTTTTATTGAAGGAGTTCCTTTTAAAACATCCTGTACAATTCTTATTAGAGGAAGTATTGATTTTAAAAGAATTCAAGTTTTAATGAAAGGAATTATAACAAGTCTTAGACAAGTTATTAAAGATAAAATTTGTATCAGAGGAGGGAAAACACTTTATTTAAATTTAATAACAAAATTACAATCAAAATTAGAAACAATTGAAGATCCATCAAAAATTCTTGGTTATAAAATTTTAATATCCGTCTATGAAAATTTTATTAAGACATTTTTAAGAAACGAGGGTGCTGTTATTTATAAAGAAATGGCTAAATTGAAAGTTAACGGAGAAGATGAAAGAATATTTGAAAATGTAAGAGTGGTTGAGAATGTTTTATCTAATTCTGTTTATAATGCTATTTCTTTGCTTATGTGTGATGAAATGGTTGTTACTGGTAAACAATTAAAAATTGATTAAAATTTTTTAATTAAGGTTTTTTTTATTTAAATTTAGGGTATAAAATGAAAAGAATCAAAAGATGTTTATTAAGTGATGCAATTCAAATAGTTTCTTTAGGCATTAGACCATGTATTAATGAGGAGTTTAATAA